TGTGTGTGTGTGTGTGTGTGTGTGTGTGTGTGTGTGTGGGGGGGGGGTGTCAAACAGAGGCAAAATGGCAGGGAGGGTGAAGGTGGATTTCCTCTGTAGCAGCTGGACGACATCACTTCCTTTCTGAGGGAAATCTCTCCCTCTGTCTCCCCTTTGTTATTTATTTAGTGGTTTAGCAGCAGCAGGTTGCAGCAGGACTTCTGGCAGGAAACTTATGGATTGAAACTTATGAACTGGCTTTGGATCTCTTCCACCTTTTAGCCATAAAAGCAAAATAGAATACAATACAATAAAAAAAAGATGAYGCTTTTGATTATCCTATTTTAATTTCTATTGCTGTACACACTCAGTGGTCATGACATACAATACATTGTTTAGTGTTAAACACTGTTACTCTGTGTTTTAGCTTTCAGGTCAACATAAATGCTGTTGTAGTGGACTATATTTTTTTCTCTTGACATTAACACGCCTTGAGTCAACTGAGCCGCAATTAAACTCTACTGAATACCTTTTTGAATGCTTCCTATTCTGAGGTCCAGCTCTTTGGACCGTGCTCAGGGTTTCCCTGGGCCCAACCAAGTTAAATTATTTAAGCTGCGTTTACCTGATGGTTGTAGACTAAATGAGCTCCTGCCCATCTGATGTAGTCTGTTTATGTGGAAGCACATAGTTATCCATGCAGGAACAACAACAAAATAAAATAGATTCTCTGGAGCACATATGATTTGGCTTTGCTCTGCTATGAGCTATTAGCCCAAATTAGCCCAAATCTGGTTTTGTTTTGTTGTCTTCTGTGTTGATTTGTACATTCCATTCTAGTCCTGCACGTGAAACTCAAGGGCACGTTTTGGGAAATAGTCACATGAAATTCGTACACGCTTGTGGAGACTCAAATGCCRTGTTGGACCTTAAGTACTTTACTTTTAAATGTCGTCTTTTATCAGTAGAGCTGCGTGTCAGTTCCAGGGATGAACATGACCACACTWAGTTTGTAATGTTTTACATTAATTTGAAATAACAGGAAGGAAGGCAAACCACTCACTTTGTTTTTAGTAATAAATTTATATATTAATCATCACTTTTTGTTGCATTTTTTAAACTCAGTAAATGCAACTTTTGATTGTTTCAGGTTTAAACAAGAAATGAGACGTTATCATCGGGAAGTCAGGTTTATTAAATTTTTGTAAATGAAAGAATGTGRCTGTTGGACAGATTTCCCCAAGAGCACTAAGTTTTTAAACTT